GTTAGTAATTTTGTTGTAGTTAGTTTATGTGTTGTAACCGCTTGTGTTTAAAGTTCGTCAATTGTCATTAATATTTTGTATTTTGAATCCTGAAATAATTACGAGTATACGTGGAAAGCAGTTATATACATAACACTAAAGTCAAAAACCGCTTAAGGTTTTGTAGCATGGCAAATGCTACTGTTCCTTTTTCTTTCAATATATTATTTCATAAGTTAAATTATCCTTTTGAATGTTGACAGTCTGGTGATATTATTAAAGATTAAAAGATTTCTGCCGCCAATAATATTAGCAATTATTATTAACCTAGAGGGCACGATTTTCATTTAAATTTAAAGTAACAGTTTAGTACCAACACTTTTCGTTGGCTATTTTTCGGGGGGAAACTCTGCTTGTTCAGCTTCTCCGATTTTACGGCCATTGTAAATTTTAAATTTCGACCTGGAAGGTTGAGCCTGGCCTGGGCGCAGCTATCTTCCTAAGTGAAATATCGATTACTGTTCTCGTGTAAAAAAGTACCTTATCGGCCATCGGGCACTATTTTGACGGAATAAAGTTGCGTGAGGCAATGTTCCATTACTTACCGAAAAATATAATATCGAGAGTCTTGCGATTACCGTTTCTTTCGACGAAGCCGTTTCTAACAAGCCCACATTTCTAAAGATCACCTTTTTCATGGGGCATGGGAATAGAGATTTTGAAGAGATTTTCTAGAGGTATAATCAATTACCATAATTGCCAGAATTACCAATTCTGAGGGTTCCTTGGATGAAATAGGTGATAATAAATAAATATTGTAAATACTGCTTAGTCCGTTTTATTGCCACCTTAAGTACTTCAGGTAGCGGAAACCAATTCACACATACAAATCAGGTAAACGAGAAGTTGAGGTAACCAAGTTAGGTACATATTTTTTCTAACCCTCATTACCTGGAAAACCAAGTTACGTGTACCCTCCTAGAAATATCCGTAATTTTCCAAAATCGATTTTATTTTTTGCTGAGCTTATTTGAAGTGATACTTTGAAATAAATTGTTACTCTGTTTTTTCTACAAAAAGACGTTGTCGTATTTGAATTCAGACGTTTCGTCGATCAGCTATATTTTTTAAATAAGGTGTTACGATAAATTTTTCATTTACGTAACATGTTCCATTTCTTCTAATTTTCATTATAAAGTTGTATTTTTGCCATTTCAGAATCGGCAAAATAATAATTCATAATTTAAGTAATCTAAAAATATCCACAAAGTTCAATATAATACCAGTACTGCCATCTATCCATCATGAGCATAAAATACGAAAATCTATTATTAATTTACCAGTACTGCCATCTAGTACCGGATGATTTTTTTTTTTTAATTGTGATAGTTTTCCTTAGCTATTTTTATTATTTCTTATTGACAGTCATTGGTATTTCTATTTGAAGAAATAATATTTATCTCTCTCTTAACAAATAGATATATTTCTGTCTTTCTCTAACTTCTGATTCTGAAATAATTATTTTTGGCTTTGACCTAATTAATTAGAAGTTTTGTGCTTCCAACATAACCTTAATTTAAATTATTGTAATTTGTAAACAATTAGAATAATTCTAGTGAGTTTTTATTTAGGTATTCTCTTTTATTCCACGTGGTTTTTCATTGTGAAGTGAATATGGTTTTTGAGTGTAGTTTTCTGATTGGTTTCCTATGGGGTTTGGTTTCTGAAACGTTCTCTTCTTCTGGCAGTGCTCTGGCAGGCAAGTCAAATTTGCACAGAACAAATTTGATTTTTAATAATTTTTCCTTCAAGTTTCTAGATCCTCCCTGAATAATTTCTAATTTACTTTACCATAAGTGGATACTATCATATCACTGTTAAGTTTTTACCTGATAAATCTTATCTTATTTATTTTTGAAATATAAATAAGGTACCTGACCCAAATATGGCCATGTAACTAATAAGGCCAGCGCCCTTTATTGCTTAATATTGAATTCCATTTTCAAAAATAACAATACTATTAAAAAAGAAATCTATAATGCAAATCAAAAATTATTGCTAGGGTTCCTAGCAACTCGTTATATGTCGAAAAATGGCCAACCATATATTTCATACGTCACATTATAACTTTGAGGCTGGAACTTAATTAGTTTATACACATGTTCATAAAGTGAACGGAGCGAATGTAATTTTTACACGGTCATTTATGTATTGAGAAAGCTACAGAGTGAGTACAGAATAATATCTTTGCTACATTTCTAGTTACACACTTTTTTTCATCAATCTAACATGTTCCTAATAAGGCCATATAAAAAAAATTTAATTGGCCTCACATCATAGTGTTTTTTTTTTAAGAGAATGTGTCATATATTACCCAAGTGACGTGTTTTAGAACGCCTGGAATGTAATCAAGCAAGAGAAGCTGCGGTTCATATTTGTCCTAGTTGTATGTAGACCTATTTGGATCACCATCCCAGGTTTTTTTTATAATGCCGCAAGCGTTTAAGTTCTATTTTGTGTACTGTTTCTCAAAAAAAAATATTTTCACAAATAATTGTACTTATTTTAAACATTTTTAATGGTGGCCTTATTAGGAGTCTAGTGATCCAAATAAGGCCAATGGTAAGCGTCTTTGTTTTATGCAAAAACCACCACTTATATAAAAAAATAAAAAAATAGGTAATAGAAGCAAAACACTTCACATATAAGCTCGTGATTTTGGTTGGGTTTGGTGGATAATGTGAGGAAAAAATAAAACTTCTTAACATGGCCTTATTTGGAACAGGTACCTTATTATATTTTAATTTTTTATCTAATTGTGGGCCTCCATTTTGTGTGAATGCCGATTGGTGGTGCCACGTTTTTCTGAAGTAAGTCAATTCAGATTTTTGGGCTAATAAATAGGTACTGCTGCTCTGGTTTTCAGAATCAATTGTTAATGTGGGATTATTGGACCATTTGCTCTAAATAAAGTCGGTGAAAACCAAATTTGTATGTCCATCCCTATCAACTCTTTATTGAATCCAGGCAGAGGCCTATATAGTCATTTTCTGTTTGACTCCGTCGATTATTACCTTCTCGAGGAAAAGAGTGTTGAAAATTGAAACATCTCAAGAATTTTGACATATTCTGGATTTGATTGATTTCACTCTCAGATTTATCACACTATAGTAGCTACCTTAACTTTAAAGGAAAATTTTGTCTATTTGGAGGAGAATCTAGAGATTTAATTTCTTAATTTTTTTATCTGATTCAATTTTTCCTACATTTGTTTTTATTCTTGCTTGTTATTGCTACTGCCAGAAAAGCAGCATTCTGCTCATTTGTAACGAGCATTTTAATTCAGAAAAGCAGCACCCTGCTCAACTTGTAACGAGCATTTTAATTTAATCTTGCTGTTAATATCTATTTTACATATCATTTTATGATTATCTCCAATTATTTAATTGTTTTTTTTTTTATATTAAAATATTTTTCTTTTAATTTGCAATAGTTGCTCATACCTGATTCTGTTGGAAAGGAGTGTCTGGACAACAATAGATTTATAATAAACTAATTCCATATTAATTTTTCTGTCTTTGCAAGACAATCGCTTTTTGACAGAATTCAGGGATTTAATATTCCAAATCTGGGTGAACCTGATACTGCCCTATTCTTTTCTGGGTACCTACTCGACATAAAAGATCACTTTTTGGAGTCTGGATCAGCTAGAATGACGTCACCCCAGCAATATGTCCTCTTTCCTGGATACAGGAAACAACAAGAAGAGCTCCAGTTCACGAAAGTGAAACCCCAACATCCATTGGAGAGCTCCGGATTGGAAAGGTACATTGTATCAGATTTACCGGAACATCCAAGCTGTCAACTGTCAAAATTTTAAAGAAAGTGGCATTGTCACTACATTGTAAACAAAATAAAAATTATTGTTTGTTGGATTTTGAGTGGTTTCATTTGCACATAAAGAGGCTACACGTTATCTTAATTTTTTTGAATTCCACGACCGTATAGGTTCTCTTATCTTAAAGTGAAAATAACGAATATTATTTGTAACAAAGGCCATGAATATTTTATTTTGTCATGTGTTAGCTTTTGATCCCCTTTAAAGCCCGTATTACATCTGTGTATTTTTCCGTGTATTTCTTCATATAGGTAGTTCAAGGTGTCAAAATTATTTTGTTTTTCATAATGCTGATTTATGTTGCGTTTGAGGTTTTCCGGTTGTCACCCTGAACTACATGAAGAAATTCACGGAAAAATATACAGATGTATATAATATGGGCTTGAGTAATGACGTGCGAAAACCATGAAAAAAATCATTGGTCCATGAAAAATTCACCTTGAAATAGGTAATGTGTACATTGATCTGTCTCTGTCTTACATATAGCTAGCGATACAAATTCATCTTTATTCAATATATTACAGTAATAATTTCTGATATAAAGGGATAATTTAATACATCACGTCGCATTAATAACCATCCAAAATAAAGGCCACAATTAAAAAAAAAAAAAGTCGGTGATGGTAGCGCAAAGATACCCGTCTGCCATCTAACCACATAGCCAGTCAAGATTCGCATCTGTCCACACCGTCCGTTCATACAAGCACTTAAAAAAACTAGCCGTCCGTCCACATCATCAGTCTGTCCATACAACTAGCCAGAGGCTCACTGTCAGCCCCAGCTAGTAACAAATAGGAATCCCCTAGGAAAATTGCAAAGACTTGTGCGTCTCTGTATATCAAGAGCAATGAGATCATGTCCAACATCGGCACTAGAGTTCATCCTAGACCATACACCACTTCACATAATGGTGAAGCTGATTGCCAGTGGATTATCTCTTAGACTACTGAAGAACAGAATTCAGGGAAGAACGCACTCTAGCAGAACTTTTCCTCTCACAACCTGTGCATACCTTATGGAGCTAGCAAAAGATGTGATTGTTAAGAAATTCAGCTTCGAGGGAAACTTTTTCATCGAACTAAGCACTAAAAACAAATGGAACATAAAATCTATTCGGTCCCTATAAGGAAACACCATCAAATGGTATACAAACGGTTCCAAGCAGGAATATTTGGGCCATGGTCTGACGCTCGGAGCCAATGGGCAAAGAACCAAGCATTTTTCAAGCGGAATTGCATGCAATCGAAAGATGCCTGCAGTTCAACCTGAACAGAGGATATTGGAAACGAGACATTATAATAAGCAGGTACCAAAGCATGCAAAGTATGGGAATGTCTTCAAAAACTCAAAGAAATAGAAAACTTGGATGCCTGGACGCATGAAGCTTGAGGGCAACTGATGCACAGACACACTTGCGAGAAAAAAGAAGAGAACTGGCTAGAAACCAACAATAGCTAAAACAGGCACCATTACGAATGCCCAAGGATCTATTGGATCACTTTAACCAAAAAAGATCAGAACTCCTAATCAACTTGAGCAAGAAGAGTCTCAAAACTCTAACCTCAGTCTCAGTTCCTAAAATTTGTTTATTCTGTAAGAACTGTATTTTGCTTTCATGATTTTCTGTTTGTTTAAAGGATCTTCAAGCAATCATGGACGAAGCAACACAAGGCGTAGTTTACTTAAGTTTTGGAAGCAACGTAAAAAGTTCAACGTTACTTCCAAAATTTCTCAGTCTAATCAGTAAGGTACTATCAGACTTACCGTATTTAGTTTTATGGAAATGGGAAGTTGACAGTACAAGCCCACACTTAGGGAAAAGCGTTGTTACTAGAAGGTGGTTTCCGCAACAAGACATTTTAGGTAAGTTTTGACGAAATAATCCATTTTTTTCCAGGACGACAATAAATTTTCGAATTTGCCGAGCTTAGCCTGGATTTAAGGCTCCCATAATATTTCTCACCGTCCGAGATGATCCCAAAGATTTACTCCTGAAAAGAATTATTATATATGTCACGTAATATTTAGAGTTACGTTCGTGCTTGGGGTTTCTTGGATGAACACGTACATAGTTCTAGTTATGGACATTACGTCCAGGAAATTTTTAATAGGGGCAATTTTTTGAACAGAAACTGCTTACGATAAATTATTCGCAAATTGAGTTTATCTGTTTATCTGTTTCAGTGTAGCGTACCAGCTCTTGCTAAATTCGAGTTTCTTAAAAAAGTTCAAATTCATTAGCACAATGATTTATTTTTCAAATATTCAGTTGAAACTATATTATGATAAACTTTCTACTATGAAGATGATTTGTAACGAGAAACCATTTATTTTTTTAATTGTTCATAGTCTGCTTAACTCAGTATTTTTTTTTTGACATCTTTTAATTTTTAGCCGATCGATTTTGAACTCTGTGACAACTAGGTACCTATTTTCAGAATTCCAATTTCATATTTGTCTTCCATGTTATTATTTTATGTCTTTCTTCTATGTTATTTATCTTGCATCAATATCGATAATATCAATAAGTCATTTATATTTAAGCAGATGTTAAGAACCATGATATATTTTTATAGCTCATCCAAATATAAAAGTTTTTGTGACCCAAGGCGGTCTACAATCAATCGAAGAAGCTATATCTAGGAATGTACCCATGGTAGGTGTTCCATTTATTGCTGACCAACCCACGAATGTAGAACGAATATCTGAATTGAAAATTGCTGAAATGATTGACTGGACAACGGTTACAGAGGATCAACTTAGAGATGCCATATTGAAAGTAGCCGAAGAACCAGAGTAAGTAAATTTGATGCTAGAATATTTTTATATTTTAAGTCGAAGACAACTGCGGTGGTAACAGGATGGTGCACGACCCCATAATTTACGGGTTCTTACACAGTTCTTTCATTAAGAGTTTCCAAATCAATGCTCTGGCCAACTAGATGCCCAAATCTATCCCCGCTAGATTCGTTTTTTAAAGATTAAAAAGAATATCGATTTGAAGATACTTTAAAGAATTTAGCCTCTCATTTTTGGGACTTTGACGTCACACTCCTAACCCGAGTTTCAGAGCAGTTTGAAAATTTTATTTTAAATTCATTTTATTTTGAAAAGTTTGCGTTTTTTTTGGTCAAAAAGTCGACAGATGTTATTGAAATGACTAGCACAATAATTAAAATATGTTTTTGCAAAATGTGAAAGTCGCCTATTATTATTTTCTATAACTTATTGAGCATATACCTTTACCTGAATTTTTCTTTTAGGTATAGAGAAAGGATCAAAAAAATCCGAGACATTCTATTAGATCAGCCAATGACGGGACTCGAAAAAGCTGTATGGTGGACTGAATATGTCATAAGACATAAAGGAGCAAAACATTTGAGAAGTATTTTGGCTGATACGTCATTATGGGAATATTTACTTTTAGATGTAGTTGCGGTTGTATTAGCCTCGGTTACAGTGACGTTGTATGTTCTCTATAAATTAATTTCAATTTGTAGAAGAAAACTTAAATTTTCTAAAAAAGTTAAAGTTAAAGTAACGTGATAGAAGTGATTTTTTTAAATGTATTCTTGCTGAAAGAACTTTCTTCTTACAATAGATATTTTTTAGAGATATATTGCCTTCCTAAAATATACCTAGTCATTTACCTTGTTATAGAGTTTTAAATATGTACTTCCGAAATGCCTTGTTGAATATAATATGTTGTCAAAAATGAGGGTTATTTATATTTTATGTGGCTTTGGGATGTGGCGGCATCCCATCTCCAGAACCTTGAGCTAAGGGACCGTGAAGCTGCTGACTGTGCATCAGCATTTCCACGTTAATAAAAGCCACGCTCAGGCATCTTCTATTCTAGGACACATAAGATTATCAAGTCCAAACCATACCAAAGTCCTTCGGCGATCGTCAAGTTGCGACTGGAGCAAGATAGTGCATTCTGGAAGCTCTTAGTGGCAAACCGTGTGATCACCGCTTTGCTCAAGGATTGGCTCTAGAGCAACTCGTGTGCTGTATCCGTGACTAAGCAGCCCTATTAGGATCCGGTCTGCTCACCCTGAAAAAGAAAGAGGCTATAAACTTACCCTGAACATAGCTAAGATGGTGTACAGACTAAGAACTCTATCCCTTACGATCTAAAGATGGCACAAGACTGCTTAAAGATAGTTCTTCCACTAATTCTCGTTGGAAGGAACACTTTCAGGAACGACTTAACAGAGAATCACAAATCAATAATGACTTCTTCAACGAAATTCCACAGAAACCAATACAACAAGAACTGAGCGAGGTTCCCAGATTAGAGGAGGTTGAAAAGGCAATAAGACAAATAAAAAACAATAAGCAATAAAGCAATAAGTCAGCTGAAACTGACGATATTCCTGCTGAATTTTGAACAGGAAGGCCCCACACTAAGTGTCCGAACACACATCTTAATAAGTAAAATATGGATTACTGAGACCATACCTGCCGAACTGCCGAACAGAACGTCCCAGAGACACGGTGTGCCTTTAGACCCAACCTAGGTACAGGTGAGATGATTTTCAGTGCAAGACGAATGCAAGAGAAATCCAGAGAACAAAATCGCTTTCTATATATGGCCTTCATAGTGTTATTTATACGGATTCGCAGATAAGTGAGACTACTTTTTCGAACTTAAGGCAGGGCGCCCACCGAAATAAACACAATGACATAAAAATCACATGAAATTTAACACTACTTTGCACTCCGAACTACTCCAAATAAAGCTTATACGGCACGATTATTTTCGAAAGTGGTTATTTAGCTCCGGACTTTACAGTTTTCTGATTTTGTCGTACGTCAATCAGAATTGATCCTTAGGCGGTGCGCACCGGGGCTTTTATAAATATGTGCGTCCTTCTCTAACACGCTCGAATTTTCCTGATTCAGTTCATCTTGAAAATAGTCGAATTTTCTGGCTTCTTTAACTGTAGTTACAGGGGGCAATCAAAAAGTACGAGTGGCGGGTTTATAACACTGCCCCCTTACTCAAAGCTGTTCGCCCCGAACAGTTTATCCCAATCACATCCAAGTCGGTGTGCTCTTGCCCTTGTATAGAGCCAGCCTCTCCATGTGAACGACCTTGGGCTTGGTTTTGGGTGTAAGTTGTATCCTGTTACAAAGTCGTTGATTTTCTTAACGACCTTGTATGGTCCTTCCCATGGTCGTTACAGTTTCGGACTAAGTTGTAACGACCGTTACTTTATTTTTACCTTTTTCCGGAACTTCCGTATTTTGCATCAGAAATTTGTCGTTGTTTTTCGAGCTTAAATGGTTAAATTATAACGCTATTATCAGTGGATTTATTCTGTCGCGAAAACATTGGTTTTCCCTGTGGAAATAATTTTCCTTTATACCTTAACCGTGCGACTCGACAACGTGTCGAATGAATCTCGCGCGAACCCAGTCCATCTACAGCACCAGATACCACGCGCAACCCCACTCTTGCCTGCCGTCGGCCAGGCAGCATCGAAGCAGCTTAGCTCTTGAGACGAGCGGACAGTGAGAATCATTACCGATACCGACCCGAAACCAACCAGTCGAGCCCGAAAACCGATCCCGCTCACCTGGAGTCATTCAGGTGAGACCTACCGACCGACCGACCGCCGCCGCCGTCTTCAGCCGTCCCGACGCCGCTCTTTAAGGATGCAGGTATTACCGTTTGCCCCCGTACCCCGCTAACCAGAACACGGGCTGAATGGTTCCATCTCCGGACCTCGTTTACAGGGTGGAACTATTCTTTCCGTGCCGGGTTGTGAGAATCATCGTGCTGTGCTGCGGTTCCCGCGATGCTTCTCGCTAACCTTATTCGACCTCGTCATCACATGGGCTGAATGGCAACACCACAGCGTCCCGTTTACAGGGTGTAGCTATTCTGCCCGTGCCAGATTATGGGAACCATCGTGCTGTGTTTCGGTTCCGGCGATGTTTCCCATTGCCTTCTTTTTCTCCGTTTAATAAACACGGAATGTATGGTGACACCACAGCGTCCCGTTTACAGGGTGGAGCCATACCTTCTGTACCAAGCGGCAGGATCCATCGTGCTGGATCCCGGTTACGGCGATGTATCCTGGCGCTTTTCTCTCTCCGTGTCCGACAAAAAGGTACTTGCATCCTAGCCGAATTCATAACTCGCGCATGCGCTGTATTAGCATGGACAAACGACTTGAAGAGGGCGAGCGTATAATTAAACATGGTTTGTCCGGAGCCTTTTCTCTTTCTCTCTTTCTAATTAAACCGTTACCGTTACCGTTGCCGTTGCCGTCCGAACTTCGCTATTTCGCAGAAACACCGTAGTCCACGCTTTTCTTCGTGCTCACTCGTTACACACTCTACTCCCCTTCTCTCTCTACCTGTCCGATAATTATTATTTAGCCAGAGCTGTTATTAATTGGTTTCTCTTGTTTATTCCGTACCGTACCGATTTAAAGAGAATAAATTATGGATATTATTATTGTGAACCATCATCATGAGTTTTATTTCTGAACTGACTGCGCATTGACCCCTGGTTTTTCTTTCTCCACTGTAACAAGCTACCTGGTGCCCGTGGACCCTCGACCACGTTAATCCCGAGGGTGGCGCCCGAGAAAACCGATGGAAAATTGACCGAAAAGTATTACCTGACCGTTAAGCTTGCCACAGCTGACAAGTACCAAAGAAAACCCGTTACAAAGTCCCTTTCTTCGCTGTGGCTGATACAACCAGACAGCATCGCCTTCATTAAAGGTGTTCAGTGACTGCCGTTGGTTGAGTCTCATCTTCATTCTGTCACTGGTTGGCCGTAGCTTATTTCTGGCGAAATCGTGTACCACTCTAATTCTGTCCTGGAGATCAGCCACGTAAACTGGATGTACAGCCTCGTCTTCATCGACTTGAGGCCTGCCAAACATTAAATCTACTGGAAGCTTCATTTTTCTTCCAGTCAACAGCATAGATGGTGTATAGCCGGTGGACTAATGCTGAGAGCTTCTATAAGCCAGAAGGAAAAGAGGCACTAGTTTATCCCAGTCTCGCTGGTGATCATCTACAAACATCGAGAGGTATTGATTGATGGTCCGATTGTACCTCTCGACCATTCCGTACGACTGTGGGTGAAGTGCAGTCGTCCTCGTTTTTCTTACTCCCGGTAACCTCATCAGTTGTTTCCTTACCTTGGACTCAAAATTCCTTCCCTGATCGGTATGAAGTTCCATCGGTACCCCATGTCTGGATATGACGTTTTCCAGCAATGATTCCGCAACAGTAACTGCTTCCTGATTGGGTATGGGAACTACTTCTGGCCACTTTGAAAAATAGTCCATAGCAACCATGAGGTACTTATTCCCTGACTCCGTCGTAGGAAAAAGACCTGCAATATCCATGACAATTCTCTCCCAAGGAGAACCGGACAAGTACTGCTTCATTTCTCCACGGGATCGCGTCTTGGGTTCTTTCTTAGAAGCACAGAGATCGCATCTCTTGCACCACTCTCCAACATCCCTACAGTTGATCCAATAGTACCTATCTCTTACTCGAGCCAAGGTCCTTTTTACTCCAAAGTGTCCACCACTCCTACTACTGTGCAGTTCTTGAAGCACTCTGTCCACCATGATCCGTGGCACAACGGTCTGATATACTAGGTTTTTTCCATCTGGACTCTCCCATTTACGAGTGATCACGTCATCTCGCAGGCACAACAAGTCCCATTGCAGCCAGTATCCCTTCACCGTTTGACTCAAACTGGAAATGTCTTGCCATCCAGGTCGTTGTCCGTCTTGTAGCCAGCCACGCACCATTTTCAAATCCTTATCCATATTTTGTTGTTCTCTCACATGGCCGAGGAAGTTTACTTTTTCCTGGAATAGGACACACTTCTTGGGATTTAGTTGCAGATTGGCACTTCGAATCCTGGCAAAAACTTCCTTCAAATTCGACAGGTGTTCGTAGAAATCTTTGCCAATCACCATGACATTATCCAGATATACCATGCACGTTTCCCAAGTCATTCCTCGCAAAACTAACTCCATCAGTCTTTCAAAAGTGGCAGCATTGCATAATCCAAACGGCACGACGTTAAATTGATATAGTCCGTTTCCTGCAGTAAATACGGTCTTCTCTTTATCCTCTTTATTGAGTTCCACCTGCTAATATCCACTTTTCAAGTCCAGGGTTGAAAACCACTTGGATCCTGATAGGGTGTTAAGGGTATCGTCAATTCGGGGTAATCATATATTTAAAATCTGTTTTTTTTTTAAAGATAAAAGTCAAACTGACATTATGTTGGCAATACAATGTAAAATTGTCAATGCTTTCAAATGTTTTATGTAGAAAAGGCTTGTGTTGCCAACATAGTTACTAAATTTTTGACTTGGGGAATTATCTTTAAAAAAAAAACAGACTTTATTATACTACGTATATCGCGGGTTGGTTTGAGTTCTTGAAGCAAACATTATGAGATAGAACGATGCCTTCTTTGTCTAAAGTGAACTTGTTTTTTCCAATGCGCATGCGTCAATTTGAAGTTATTTCTCCAATAAGATTTAATTTTAAACAGCTGATATTGCAGGGTTGCCAATAAAATTATTTTCATCTTCGAGTTATTTAAACATTCACAAAAGACATGACGAAGTTTGTATTTTGGTGTGTAACACAAACTCGATTTCGACAAATATACCAATATATCCATTATTATTAGTGTTTTGGAATCAAAATACAATCGACCAAATTATAACCTCAAAGAATGATCCTAATTCATTGTACTTTTTAGCTTGATATGACACCACCGCACGAAAAGCTAGTTGCAAAATGGCAACCGCCGGCCAATAAGAATCTAGAGCTTAACGCAAGCGCAGTTGGTGACCTTGTTCTACTTTGGTGTTAACTTGCTGTTGCTTTACGAAAGGGAGTCTTCGTGGTGGTTGGCGAATGGGTGTACCACTTCCTGTGTTGATGCGATGATCTACCAAATTAGTTTGTCCAGTAATTTTATCTTGCACAAAAACACCAGCCTCTTTCTACACAAAGTCAATAGCTTTCTTCTTTTCTTGCTGGCCCAAGTGATTCCAGCTCTTTTCAAACTTCTCCAGAAGCTCTATTGATAAATGTGCTTCATTTGACACAGGCTCCTTCTTTGCGCATCTGACTACTCGTATAGCTGGGTCTGCATCTGCCAATGACGTCTCCTTTCTTCAATGTTACACGGTTTGTTGTTAGATTGGCCACTTTCACTGGAAAAACATTGTTGGAATTCACTAAGCAATATGCCACAAGTGTTCCATTCTGCATGTTTCCTGTTGGTATTCACATTCGACTCACTATTTCCAGGAATTCGTGTATCTTCATCAACGATTATTCTAATTTGACAGTCCTTATTTGACGGCGATGAGAAGAGTATTTCTTCATTGCCCACTCTCAACATTTTATTTTTAAAGTTCACTGATAGGAAATCAAAGGTTTCTAGGACATCCACTCCCAATATAAATCCATCCACTATGTCAGCAACTATCACTTCTACCTTAAGTTCGGTGCTGCCTATTCCCAATATCACGGTGGTCTCTCCAAAAACATTTATCAAATCTGCTGTTTCTAGCAGTGGTTTATTTTTCAACATCATTACAGAGTCCTTAGAAACCTTGTCGGGGCGAACCACTGATCTTGATGATATCTGGAACCACCTTCTTCCTCCGCTTCACGATCTCCTCAGCGGGAAAGTCGCCTACAGTTTCTGCTAATATGTCCTTCTCGGCCGCAGTTGTAGCATTTGATCTGTTTTCTGGCTCTTGGTTCTTGGTCTAACTTCGCGCAAAATTCCTGAAGCAGCGCCTCCAGTTTTAGGAACATATCTGCGTCCGAGTTTGGGCGATCCTCTACTATTTTCACTTCCCTGATCTTGCTTCTTCGATTTAAAGAGGCATTTTAGGCAGCTTTATATTCCAATGCATGGACAACGGTGTCAGCTAAGGTGTTATGCCTACTCATTCTCAGTGCTTGTTGCAGGTCTGTATCTTTTACTCCATCGATAAAGTACTGAACATTTATCTGTTCAATGAAGTCTTCAGGAGCTTGTGGATACGCCAATCTCACCATTCTCTCGATGTCGCTACTAAATTCCTGTAGTGTCTCAGATGGATCTTGGACTCTGCTTTTGAGTTGACTCTGGTAAACTTGACTGAGATACCTATTTCCGTACCTCAGCTCTAAGGCTCCTA